AAAAAGGAAAAAAATTAATTACAATCATAGTCCCAATTTTTCTAAAAAGAGCAAATGAGTCTCGAATAAATTATTAAAATTGTAATTACTACATAATGTCCATATATTTCACCTTTATTGTGAAAAACGTCCACACCTTTAATTTTTTTTTTTGGCATTTTCACCCTTAATTACACATTTAATTGTGCAGACCATCATTTCCATCTATTTTCATCAAATTTCTTAATAAAGAATTATGAAATAATGAATATACCCTCATACTTAAGTAAAAAATAGATTTTTTAAATTTCTAATTCTTTAATAATTTATTTGGGACTCATTTGCACTTTTTATTTTTATTTTTAAAATTTTTAAATAAATTTAATTAGGAATTGTTAGCACTTTTCATAAAAAAAATAAAATTCTTAAATAAATTATAGGGGGCTCATTTTTACTTTTTTAAAAAATTGGGACTATGGTTGTAATTAATTCTTTAGCTTTTTTATTTTAAATATGAGGGTATATTCGTCATCCCATTGTTTTTTATTGAGAAATTTGATAAAAATGGATAGAAATGATGGTATGCGCTATCAAATTATAATTAAGGGAGAATGTAAAAAAAAAAAAATAGAAGGTATGGATATTTTTCGCAATGATAGTGAAAGGTAGGGATATTATGTGCTAATTATCATTTTCATAATTTATTTGAGACTCATTTGCGTTTTTAAAAAAAGTTGGGACTATGTTTGCTATTAGCTTTTTTTTTTATTTCCCTTTTGTTTTATTTAGAGGGAATGATATTTTTGTCATTTCACAATTTTTAATTGAGAAAATTGATAAAAAGGACCTTTTGCACAATGAAAGATGAAAATAAGAGTGAAAATGTCAAAATAAATAAATAAATAAAAATGAAAGGTATGGACGTTTTCCACAATAACAGTGAAATGTGGGGACGTTATGTGCTAATTATCCTTTTATTTATATACAATGTAGTAATATTTCTAGTTTTGAAAATAACTACTTGAATATAATCAACCATTTTAGACGTGCTAAAAGACCAATTTCCCTTTGATCTAGCAAGTATGGATTGCTTTGATAGTATTCCTAATAAATTATTTTTGTACCACTCATTCTTAAAAAAAATAATAAAAATAATAAAAATCCATATTTAATGAAATCTATTAATAAAAAGTTTCCGTAAAACAGATCCTTAAAAAACATCAAGAGAATATTTAAAATAGGTTTAAAACATATTAGGAGAATGTATAAATATTTTTTAAAAAAATAGTTATTAGTGTTTTGGT